GTAACGGTACCGAAACTAACCTTATTAAAAAGAGCTGATAAGCTAATTATAACGCCGAAAGATGATGAAACAAGAAATGCACTCAAGAGCATAGCTAGTATGAATGGAAAGATAGTGGAAAGAGAAGCGAGATGGCCCAGGATGATGGTCAAGGGGGTGGATAAGGAGATCGCAGGGGACCAAATACCTAGGGCGATAGCGTTCTCCAACAGAGAAATAGGGATCGACATGGTGGATGCAGACAAGAATATGAAGCCTCTGTTTAGAAAAGGACCACGGGACTGCGAAACAGTGAATTGGGTCATAGAAGTGGCACCTAAGTTGTACGAGGGTATTAAAAAATTAGGATATCTGTACATCAAGTGGAGCAGATGCAGGGTACAAGAATTTGATGATGTGTCTCAATGTTTCAAATGTTTGAAATTCGGACATATTATGACGGGATGCAAGAAGGAAAACTTCACATGTAAATATTGTGCTGGGGAACATGATTCGAGGTTATGCCCGAATCCTGGAGTACTCAAATGCGTGAACTGTGCGCAAAGACAAATCGCAACGCATGGAGATTGTATAGCCAGAGAAAGGAGGATTAGGGAAACATTACGGAAGACAGATTATGGAAGAGTGGAGGGACAGGATGATAAAACGTCATGAGGCCAAGTGACGGAATAAGGGACCCGTCAATCTCGGATTTGACGGATAATAATAGAATGGAGCACGGCAATAGGATTAGGAGGATTAAAGTGGTACAGAATAATATGGCAAAGACGGCATGCGCGAATGATGAATTGGTGGCGTATTGTCAACAACATAATGTGGACATAGCATTCATTCAAGAACCATATACTAAGAACGGGAGACTGGTTGGAATAGAGACGGCGTCGCATAGAGTATTAATGGGAAGGAGCGAAGTGGTACCGGGTACCAGGAGCACAAGGAATGGTTCGGCATTGGTAATATTCAATCCTGAATTAGTATTGTTGGGTTGTGGGGAACTAAACACAACAAACGTGGTAGTGATGAAGATAATGATGGAGGATGGCCGAATTGTTGCATTGGTATCAGCATATTTTAGATATCGGGTACCAACAGAGGAAAACATAATGGAGCTGGAAGGAATACTGGAGAAGATGCAGTGTCCAGTTGTGATATGTGCGAATGTAAATGCAAGATCGAGAAGGTGGTTCAATCGAAGAGGCAATGATAGGGGCAGGATGGTGGAGGAATGGATAGAGAGGAGAGCACTAAATATTTTGAATAAACCTGGTCAAACACACACGTTCTCTGGACCTAGAGGGTGCTCAAATATAGACGTCACATTGGTTAGCCATAGCATTGCGGAGATGGTGGTGGACGAATCATGGAAGGTAATTGAGGGGGAGGTTACATCAGATCATAGACTGATCCAATTTGAATTAGAGATGGATAATATACAACGGAAAACAGCACCAGAGAAGAGATACGCTGAAGACAAGGCAGATTGGGTGAAGTTCGAAAGTGTGGTCTATCAGGAAGTGGAGGCTAAGGAACGGGAATTCAATGAAGCGGACATAGATGGAAAAGTGGGCCTGCTGATGAACGCATTGAAGAAGGCAGCAGATGAAGCGATACCACGTAGGAGAACGAAGTACAGATGCAAGCCACCGTGGTGGAACCAGGATCTAAAGGAACGCAGAAGGGATCTTAGGAAGGCGCATCGGGATTATGAGAGAATGGTAGGCGTAGACAGGCAAGAGAAAAGGACGATATATAACAGGAAGAGGAAAGAATATGTTAAGGCGCTGAGAGACAGCAAGAAAAGATCATGGAGGGAATTTGCTAGCTCGATCAAGGAGGACACTTGGGGTAGCTGTTACAAATGGATTAGTAAAGGGTCAAGGGAATCTGGGATCCTGACGTCAAAATTGAAGGAGGACGGTAACTTTACTGGGAGTGCCCAGGAGACGGTGGAATATACGTTGAAGAAACTCATCCCAACGGATAACGAGAATGGAGTCTTTGTAGCAGAACCAACGAGAACGGCAAGAGCAGAGGAGGGCGTGACAGAGGAAGAAGTGAAAGTATCCATTTGGAGAATAAGCCCGAAGAAATCACCAGGGGAAGACGCCATAACAGGGATGATGGTTAGGAAAGCTTGGGGTTCAATAGCGGAATGGCTAACTGCTATCACGAACGAAGTGCTACAGGTAGGATATTTCCCCAGGGCTTGGAGAAACGCGAGAGTGGTGATGCTCAAAAAAGGCAAGGAGGCGGATAGCAAGCTGGTGAAGTCCTTCAGGCCAGTGAGTTTGCTACCGGTCGTGGCCAAAGTGGTTGAACACCTAATCGTTAAGAAACTCAACAGGGAAGTAGAGAGTAAACTGGACCCAGCGCAACACGGATTTACAACCGGGAAGTCCACGGAGACGGCGATAATGGACATGACGGAATGGGTGTCAGGAAGAAACGAGAAGTATGTTATTGGAGCGTTTATGGACATTACGGGTGCCTTCGACAACGTTAAATGGGAACCACTGCTGGAAGACATGAGGAAATTAGGAGCGAGTATTAAATCTATGGAGTTGACGAAAAGCTATCTCACGAATAGGACTGCCACATTATATGAAGGAGGGGCGGCAGCGAAAGTGACATTGAGTAAGGGATGCCCTCAGGGGTCTAACTATGGCCCATATTTATGGAAAATAGTGGCAAATAGTGTCTTATCAAAAGAAATACCGGAATATGAAAAGAGAATAGCATATGCTGATGACGTGGTGATACTCACGGCGGGAAATTCAAAGAGGGAAGTTATCGGTAGACTAGAAAAAAGCCTGGAAGATCTGCCAGAATGGGCAGGTAGACTGGGACTATCCTTCTCGGAACAGAAGTGTAGAGCGATGTTAATGAAAGGGAAGCTATGGACGGGTTTCACATTGAAGTTCGGAAGCAGCAGAATGTCCATGACGAAGTCGATGAGATATCTTGGAGTGCACATGGTGGAAAGGATGACGTATACGCCACATATCATTCATCTGGGTAGTACAGCGGAGGAACTGTATAGTAGATTGAGATCAACGTGCGGGATTGACTGGGGGTGTGCTGACTAGGGCACATAGGGGGGCATTGGACGCCGCAATGCGAAGAGCGGGAATGGAATGGCCAGAAGACATGGGATGCGTGATAACATCGAGAGTAGCCTATGAGGCCTTTCGGAAATTCTCAAGGGACACGCTGGTGGAGAAGAGACGTAGAAGAGAAGAACGAGATGGCGAATTGATGATTGACTAAATGGCGGGATGAATGGAATGATAGTGGTTGTCACGATGACAACCAGAATGCCCTCCATCAAGGGGCTTAGAGTTCTACTGGGGTAATAATTATGCCGGTCGTAAGAGGCGATCATAATAGTCGACGGCTGTGGTCGCTAAAACAGGGGTGGTACCCTTAAAACCCCCAGGCGAGCGTCTGGAGGGGCCTACCTGGGCCCGGGCTCATCACCCAAGGTAGACGATGGTTACCGTTGTCGAACAGGCCACCAGCCTGGACTACCGGAAGGAGTCAAATTGGTACTACGGGCGGGGGAGGGCCCCTGGACACGGTTTGCGTCGTGATCCAGCTCCCCCGGCATCGTGTACCGGCTTGTCTTCGGCCGAGTTCGGTATGCGGTGTGGGCTTGGCTTCGTAGTGGCTGTTGTGTGAGCAACTAAGGTTGCCTGCAACTTTGTGGTTATGGTCAAATGCTAGACCAGGGACGTGTCGTTGGATGATGAGTTCTCCACTTGTTCGGTGAGAGCCGAATTTGTGGGTGAGCACTCTCTGACTTCTCGTCCTGCTCTACCGGTGGGAGTTAATCACCGGAGGTGTAGACGCCTACCAGATGCGTTTAGTGGCTGAGATAGGGTCACGCCCCTACCGGGGTGTCCGTGAATGATGCGAGGTTCACGGACGACAGGTACGCAACGGCGCGGAATACCCGTCGACGCGGTGCTGGTGTTCCATAGAAGACCCAGAACGGGTCCGGAACGAGTAATCGCTCCGGCTCTTCTGACCTGCCCCGATCTGTGAATAGCGTCGCAGCGCTAAAACGGGTCGGGGTTGTAGGTTAGCCGCAAGGTGACACCACAAATAGGATACTCATGTCCCTATTTACAACTATCGCGCGGACTACGGTTGCGTCAACACATGTGTTGCGTAGCTCTGATGTTTTTGGCGATCTATTATTTTGTTTTTGAGTTTATGGAATTTTAATTGTGCTTAACATTCTCGGTGTTTAGTGCGCGTAGCCATCGGTGTCGTTTTTGAGTCGGTGGTGCTCATTTTCTAGGCTCGAAAGCTTAAATTTTATTTTTTATCTTCTTCGTGTTTACCGTAAGCGGCTTAAACACGTGGTTTTAGCGTCGGTTCAAACAACGGCGAACAGCAAGTCTGGTACCGCACTTGGAGTCGGCCATTTTTGCGGTGATAATGTTTATTTTACAACTTTGCTAACTTCCCCACCCCCCGCAATATTGAATAGCGCCTAGCGCCTTCAATAATCGTCGGAGAGTGCCCGGAGTTTGGATCAGCGGCGTAGGTACGCTAATAAAGTTGGTGTACCAAATTTTATTAAATTTGATCAAATTTTGGCGGGAAAATCAGCTCTCGTTTGCGCATGCGCACAACGAAGTTGATTTTGTTTCTGTAAATCGATACTGCGCATGCGCAGTGGAGTGTGGTGTAGTGCGCGAGTGTTTTTTTTTTTTTTTTTTTTTT